AAAAAATATACTCATTTAAATGTCCAAAGGACACACTTCGCAAGCCAGCCTCCTGCCCACAGGCACACAGTCTTTCTCAATCCATGGGCCTACAGTTCTCAGCTGCTCTATTTCTCTATGCCATCACCTCTGCCACCATCTCTGCTGTTGCCACTCTTCTCGTTTGGATCTCACGCGCCACTCATGCTCTTCCCTCTTGATGGTCCTAGGGTCCTCTGTTCTTGAAATGAAAGATTAACTACTCCCCACTTTTACTTACATATCTCCTACATTTACAGTTGTGACCATTGCAATTAGTCTTGATAACAATTACTCACAATTGAATCATAAAATCCTATCACCATCATCCCCATCCTCTTTCACCAGATCCATCTGGAGAAAAGGAAAACTATTCAGTGGGGATTCTACCTTACCCACCTCATTCTGAATCTAAGCACAATCATGAAAGCTTGTAAACCAGTCACTTCGTGCCTTTATAATCCCAGTCCCCCATGTTTGATAGCCAATGTCTAAGTTGCCCATCCCTGTCAACCCAGTGTACTGAGAAGACAAGCTTGATCCTTGATATGAAGAATCCTCCCATTTCAGTTGGAATTTTGATCAACTGCATCCATAAGCAAAGGTCCAGTTCATCAAATTGTTACAATTTATGCTTACTTCCTGTATCAAATGTCTTTATTTTCATCTGGTTGAGTTCTGGTTAGTTAGTCATTCAATGTAGGTCAAATGGGTATTTGCAAGTTTGGGAGTTCTCGCATGTCTTCCTCCACTTCAGATTGCTGGCCACTTCACTGTCAGCTCTAGCCCCCAGTGGCTAGGTCAGTGTCCATGGGCTCGAGAGTTCACACCTTTCCCTAAACTTCACACCAGCCAGCCCTTTCTCTTTTCTCTCATCTCAAAGTCAACAAGTGTCAGTGGAATTTGGCCAAACTCGGCCCATGTTTTCATTGCTGCATTTCTCCTACTTCCACTCACAAGTAGTCCAGGATGTTAACCAGCGAGCATACAAGACTGCTTGTGTGTTCCCTTTGAGTTTCAGTCTTAGAAGGAGGTTTACCCTGATGGACTGATTTTTCTTGCCTTGATGGCTCCAAGACAAACAACTTGCTTGATATTCTAACAGCCAGTCTTCTGCCTTTTTTTCTGCTGGTCTTTCTTTCAAGAAGTACCTTCTGTTTCTCTAGCTGTTCTGGGTTGGTCTGCATGTCCTTTCAAGTGGGAATATCACACATCAGAAGGTTCTGGGTGAGATTCAGGATTCCACCTAAGGCTCCCTCTCCTCAAAGTCTTAACAAAAAACCTGTTTCCCTAGTCAAATTCTAATTTCTCTTTTAACTAATCCTATCAGTTATAGACTGAAGATGGTCTTATAAATATTCTGTAATCATAATTCCTAATATTCATTTCTATCATACTTAAATGTCTACTGTACAATAGTAGGCAGGGAAAACCAATATCCACAAGACAGTTAAGCTCCCTAACATTATTTGCCTTCCGTTACCCATTCAAACTATGTCTTGATCCCTGTATTACAGAGCACTGTTGTTCCAAGGTTGTGGATACATCACTATTTACCTCTATCCCATTTAGCCCATGCATACCTCTGCAAGTCTTCCCCTATATTCATTGCTCATCTATCACTTTTCCCCTTTTTGTGTATTGCCCTCTCCTTCATTGTATATTGCCCTCCCCATCACCCCAGCTATCATGTGTCTACCCCCTAACTTGTGAGTTACTGACCCCTTCCTCCCACCCTGTAAACCATCAAATATTTTTTCTTTTATTATAGAAACCTTTTCTTAAGCTTTTACAATGATGGTCTTATGCAATATTTGTCCTTGTGTGACTAATTTCACTCAGCATAGTGAAGCATTACTTCATCATTCTTTCCAGTGGCTTTAGCTTCTCTAAACTCAACAGGAAGTCTCAGAGTTCCTTCTGACATCCATTTTGTTTTTTCTTTCTTTCCTCTCTTTTTAATGATCTTTTCCTTTACTCATGAATGATGATCTTGATGTCATCCCACAACTCTTCTGGTCTTCAGTTGTTGATACCTGTTCTTGAGATGGTCTCTAAATTTAAGAGCATATTATGACTCTCATGGAATTGTTCTAATTTTCTTCAGCTTCAACTTAATTAAGGGAAACTTTCTGTTTGCTTCTTTTACTTCACCATTCCTTCCAGTTGCTTTAGCTTCTCTAAAGTCAGTTGGTTCATGGCCTTGTTTTGGCTGATGCTTTTGAACTTCTCCATCGTCTCCTTCCACAGATGTAGCCAATTTGACTCCTGTGTTTTTCATCTGGAGAGGTTCATGTGTATAGTAACTTTTCATGTTGTGTAAAAAAAGGTATTTAGAATGAATAAGTAGTTGGTCTTGCAAAATTCTATCATGCGATATTCAACATCATTTCTATCTTTCCTCCTTTTTTCCAACTTTTTGCAGCCCAACCACCAGTAATTATCAATGTATCTTGTTTGCATGTTTGATCAATTTCAGGCTAAACAAGTTTGTAGAATTCTTCAATTTCATCATTACTGGCTTTAGTGGTTGGTGCAAAAATTTGAATAATAGTGGTATTAACCAGTCTTCCTTGTAGTTGTACGGACATTATTCTAACACAGAGAGCACTGTACTTCAAGAAAGATCTTGAAATGTGCTTTTGACGATGAATGTGACACCATTCCTCTTCAACTTGTTTCTGTCATAGTAAACCTTATGATTATCTCATTCAAAATGACCAAAACCTATCCAGCTCAACTTACCAATGTCTTTTTGCTTCTCATTTCATTTTTGATGATCCAATTTTTCTAGAATCATAATTTGTACATTCCACATTCTAATTGCTAGTGGATGTTTGTGGCTGTTTCTTCTCATTTTGAGTTGTGGCCCATCAACAAATGAAGGTCCTGAAAGCTTTTCTCCATTTACACCATTTGGGTAACTCTACTTCAGCTCTTCCCCAGTGGTATTTTGAGTGCCTTTCAACCTGTGAGGCTCATCTCACACTATATCAGATAATGTTCTGTTGCTACACACAGGGTTTTCAGTGGCTAACCATTCAGAAGTGGTGTGCCTCTCCTTGTTTCTAGTCTGTCTTAGTCTGGAAGCTCCTCTGAAACCTGTCCACCCCTCTGAAACCTGTCCACCATGGGTGACCCTGCTGGTATTTAAAATTCTAGTGGCATAGCTTCCAGCATCACAGCAACACTCAAGCCACCACAGTATGACAAACTGACCAAAGAGTGGTGGTGTGCTCACAGGGCACACCATTCCACTGTAAGCCTTCAGTCTGAAGGCACTCAACTCTAGGGCCCCCAACTAAGTGCCTAGAGGTACCCTACTCTGAAAACAAGCCTTCTGCCCAATTTCACTCAGGTTTATTTGTTTCATGGACTGAGAAGCCCACAATTCTGTCTCATGCTCTGTCTCTTGGTTCTGCTGTCACAATTCTGACTCCTGGGTTGAGGCATTTCAATATGCAGAGATGTCGGAGTTCAAATGATGCACTCCACTCCTGGCTCTTCCTTGATGGTAGTGAAAGGCCCCTTCTGCTGCTGAGATGACTCATTTTATACCTATATTATAGTTCCAAGTTTTGACAATTACAATAAACTCTGCTAACATTTATTCAAAACTGAATCATATCACCCAATCAGTTTCTTCTCCCACCTTCTCTTATCCAGATCCACCAGGAAAAGAGTCATGTTGTGGGAGTTACAAAGACTAAAGCTAGAAGAGACATTAAATAATTTACTACACCACAGCCTTTCCCCCACTATTAATTCATTTTTATTATATATATCAGTCCACAACAGATTGAAAATGAAAGCCAACAACAACAAACACAAAACCAATCCTTCATCACAAATAATATAAGAAGCACTGATTTAAGAGTTTTAACCTACCTTTCCACAGTCACAGTACAGGAAGAGTTCAGCAAAGATCTGCCTCCGCATGTCAGCTTTTATGACCTCCCGAAACTCATCTGCATAGTGACAAAGGTGTCTAAGGAGTTCCTCAAACATTTCATGTTTGAAATCAATAATGTGTGAAGATATGTACTGCAGAGAAAAATAGGATAAATTAATGATTTTAAATAACATTCTTGAACTTTCTTGAGGACTCAGCTAATGCATATGAATATATTGGATTCGAACATATTTTAATATTTTCTTATAATTTTGATAAAACATTTTCATGTTGTTGTTGTTAAGTGCCATTGAGTTGGTTCCGACTCACAGCGACCCTGTATGGGTTTCCAAGGAGTGGCTGGTGGGTTTGAATCACTGATCTTGCAGTTAGCAACCCAATGCTTATTCTACACTAGGACTCCATTTTCATGTTACTGCTGCTTTATAGGCTATTCTACATAAAGAGGTGACCAAGATAGCCTGCCATACTACACACCACTGGTGGTGCTAACTACTTTCTGAGCAGCTTCCCTCTATATCACATCAGCAAGCAAGTATTATGTTGTTGTTGTTGTTGTTGTTAGGTACCACTGAGTCAGTTCCTAATCATAGAGACCCTATGTACAACAGAAAGAAAAACTGCCCAGTCCTGCACCATCCTCACAATTGTTGTTATGCTTAAACTCAATCCAACTCATTGGGGGTCTTCCTCTGTTTCACTGACTCTCTACTTTACCAAGCATGATGTTCTTCTCCAGGGACTCTGTCTACCAATTCAGAGCATGACCAAAAACCAGTAGAGAAAAATTAGAACCTTCAACTAATCCACAGTCAAATAGAGTCTTTCATATTCTATATAATTTCATTTTTTCTACATTTATTATCATCTGAATATAAATTAAGTATATAAAAAAGTATACCAAGAGAACTCTTACTTCTACTCTTGCCTCCTCTGTCCAATTTCTTCCTGTCACCTATTTTGAAACATTTTTTATTATTAGTTTCTGTTTAGCCTTTCACTATTTCTCTTTATAGCTATCAATATATATTAGCTTTCCCCTATTCCTCCCCCTCCTTACTTACACAAGACTAATATTATATGCATTGCCCTGTTTCTTCATTTAATTTTCCTCTTTATTATGTAGTCTGGAGACTTCTCTATCTTAGCATATAGATATTTCTCTTTATTTCCCACAGCTTCATAGTATTCTATTGTTCACAGTTTATTTACTTGCTCACCTATATTATTGGACATGGGTATTTTCCATCTTTTGCTCTTCTAAATAATGTCATAATGAATAAGTATGCACATGTTTGTTTGTTTTTTTTTAATCTTATTATTGTAAATTGAGTGAAGGTTTACTGAGCAGATCAGTTGTCCATTCAATAATTCATACATATTTTGTTTAATGTCATTGAATATAATCCTAATATTGTAACATCACTTATCTCATTTCCTCCCTGTGTTTTCTGTTTTCATTCCTCCTTCTTTCATAACCCTTCTGAACTATGTCCTTGGGTAAATGCTGCTCTTTTGATCTCAAATAGTTGATTATTCTAAGGTATGCATACCTCTCTAGTGTTATTGTTCCCCTTATATACTTATCTATTGTTTGCTGAAAACTGAACCATGAAGGTGAGTTCAGTACCAGTCTCAGGGATTCCACTAGTCTCTAACTAACCAATAAGCCTGGTTGGTCTTTTTTTTTTTTGAGTTTTAATTTTGTTCCACATTTACCCCCCACGCTATTCAGGACCTTCTAATATGATTCCTTGCAAAGCAGTTTGTAGTGGTAGCCAGTCACCATCTAGTTCTTCTGGTCTTAGGGTCATGGAGACTGATGTTCCCATGGTCCATTAGACTAATTGTTCAATTTTCTTCACTCTTTTTTCTCCAGAAAGGGAGAGACCAATAGTTGCACCTTAAATGGCTGTCACAAGCATTTAAGGCCCACATGCTACTCAACAAAATAAGATATAGAACATTGTCTTTGTGGGCTATATTATGCCAATTAACCTTAGTTGCCCCGAGACTATGGACTAGAACCCCCAGGTCCAGTGACTCATTCTCTCAAGATGTTTGGTTATGTCTAAAATGTTTTCATAACTTTGCTCCCTCTATGTTCCACCACATTCATGAGTTTATTTGCAGCAAAGGTAAATACACATGTACTTACCTAAGTTTCCTCTTTCAAACCTAAATATATTCATGGGTATGCTTCCATGCTCCCTCCCTCCTCCATTCAGTCTGAGTGTCTTATCCACACATCTACTCATAAATTACTGTTATTGTAGGATTGTGTATTTACCTCTGTTGCCTTTAACTCTTGTACTCTCAGTATCTTCTATGTGGGCTATTTTGTACTAGTCTGGGTATGTATGTTGAATAAACCCCTGAAGTGGTATTACTAGCCTAGAAGATAACTGTATCTATATTTTTGGTAGGTTATGATATCAGGGTTGTACTATTTTACACTCGCATTACTAATGTATGAGGATGGCTATTTCTCCACAGCCTCACTATCAGAGTGTATTACCTTTTGAATTTTTGCCAATTGACCTTGATGTCCCCGAGACCATGGTCTTGTTCTAACCCCCTAGTGACTCATTCTCTCATGATATTTGAGAAATGACTAGGAACATTAATTTTGTTTTTGTTTTTTGCCTATTGTAGATGTTCTTTTCTTTTCTTTCTTTCTTTCTTTTCTTTTTTAAGGGAGAATTATTCACTGGCTAGGCTTCATAGGAGAAACATTGAACAGATAGCCACAAGGTTGGTGGTTTGAGTCCACCAGTCACTCCATGGGAGAAAGATGAGGGTTTCTGTTCCCCTAAAGATTTATAGTCTCAGAAACCCTACACAGAGTCGTTATGAGTCGGAACCGACTTGACTGCACTTAACAACAACAAGAGGGAGTTCTGGTGTGGTGCTATAGGATAAGTACTGAATTTATAACTGCAAGGTTAGTGATTCAAACCCACCAGCAGCTCCTCGGAAAACCTGCACAATATCACTGAGAGTTGACACTGCCTGGATGGCACACAACAACAATAACAAGGGGTTAGAAACATGTTAACTTGGGTGACAGGGAAGACAATTTAGAAAGAGAGAAACATTACATTTTTAAACTTATTTCACTATACAAGATAGAAAGTATCCTGTTTTGTTGTGGGGTTTTTTTTTTCTGTTTTCCTTGATTTCCTCAATCTTTCTGTCAACCCTTTGATGGTACCTAAATTCTTTAAAAAAAAAAAAATTTCTGTTAGTCCCATCACCCAGGGAGGAGAAAACTCTGGGGCTCTCCGGCAGGTCAAAGACCTCACAAGATGGGTGTGGAAGAGATGTACAGTGGGGTTCCTGGCCCTAGATCCAATTCCTATAGGCCTAGGTGTTATTTATGTTCAGGGCATTCAACCCAGAAGTAATTCGTAGTGGTCCTTGATAGAGTTGGTTTCAGAATCTGTTAGAACGAACCACAGGAAAGCTGGGGACAGGGTGGCTGGTTAAATGCTGGTCTGGTAGCTCTGCAGGTTCTGTAGGTTCTAAGTCGAACCCACCCAAATCCAGGCACTAAAACATAGTACCAAATGCAGTGCAGCTGACCCTTGCCTCTCACTGCATGGCTTCCAACCACATGGCTCTGAATCCGGAAGAGCAGGGACTGCACTGGGGGTAGATGAGGATTGGAGTTGGCCACATCTCTTGTCACTAGCAGAGTGTTGGGGGAAAAGAAGGAATCGCACCTTTCCTATAGCCTATGTGATTCTGCTCTGCCAGGCCACCTTCTGTTGCCAAAGTGCTCACAAAGATACCTCTCTTGCTGCCCTTGCCTAGCTTCTCCTACCAGCAAGTACTTGGTCCATTTCCTTAACCTTTCTTCTGAAGTTTACGGTTCCAGGATTTTCATCTGTGTCTGTTTTATTTGGTCACTTGTATCTGTGTTGTAGAGTCTGAGTTTGACTGTGTAGTACATCTGCCTGGTCCACCATCATATCAGAAGTCCTCATTAGTATTTTTATAACCATATGTCATTGAATAAAAAAACTAAAGACCAAACAAACCCACTGCCACTGAGTCAATTCCAACTCACATTGACCCTACAGGACAGAGTAGAACTGCCCCATAGGGTTTTAATACTATAAATTGTTAAGGAAGCAGACTGATATATCTCTCTCCCCCATAGCAGCTGGTCAGAACTATTAACCTTTCAGTTCCTATGCAAGTGCTTTAATCACTGCACCACCAGAGCTCTTTTTCATTGAATCTAAGAGACTGGTTTTTCTGGATCTTACAGGTGACAGTAGTTTTTTATGCTCTCACACCAGAAGACAATTGGATCTGGCAAAAAAATTTGATTAAATTATTGAGTAATGTCATTTCTTACCTCAATAAACTGCTTTTTGTCCAGTCTTGGTTCCAGTGACTCAGTAATTTCAAGTTGCTTGCAAGATGATTCTAAGTATGGAATAAAGGTTATTTGATAGATAGTATGGTTATAATACATTCATGTTGTAAATTAACATTATAATGCTTTTAAAAATCAAATAAAATTATTTAAAAGATTTAAAGCCTCAGACACCCTTTACAGGATTGCTTTGAGTTGGAACTGACTCGACAGCACTTAACAACAACAACAACATGCTCATCAGTATACACCATAAAGTAATTGGTATATAGTTGAGTAATATTCCAACTACTACAAATTTATTATTTGTACTAACTTTTATTTAAAAAATCAACCCAAATACTAAAAAAAGGCAAGTTTTTTTTTTGTTGTTATTGAGTGCTGTCAAGTCAGTTCTAACTCAAAGCAACCCTGTATAGGGTTTCTGTGGAGTGGCTGGTGGGTTTGGACCACTGACCTTATGTTTTTTATCCTATAGCACCACATCAGGACTCCACATCAGGTATGGTTATGTAGGATAACCACTTGACAACAAGGTCAGTTTGAATTGTAAGGGCAGCTGTTCAAACATACCACCACTTCTTAGAAACCCTATACAGGGTCACTATGAGTCAGAACTGATAGCACTTAATTTTCACATCCTGTAACTGAATAGAATAAAAAGTTGAAGGCTTTACTTAAGATTTTTTTTAAACTTAATTAAAGACTTCAACCTTTTATTCCATTCAATTTTTATCTAGTTACTTTCTAATGATACCTTCACATCTTACAGAATATAGGTGGTTAGGAGACCTCTCCTGAAACTCCCTTGTGGTGGGGGTGAACTAGTGATTTGTGCTGGCAGCACCTTGTCCTCTTAACCCAGTTGAGAAATTCTGATGTAGGATGAACACTGGACTGGTAACCACATACATCAATTGCTCCTTGGAAACCCTAAACAGGGTCACTATGAGTCAGAACCGACTCAGTGACACTTTACAATGAGCCAGTTGTGCAGGAATATAAGAATCAAGTTCTATACACACATCCCTTGTCCCTGCATGTGTCTCCTGGTTAAACTCTTTAGTGACCTGTAAGACAGATAGTGCCCACCTTTATTTTCCATCTCTGGGGTTTAGTTGAAAGGAGCTATAGTGCTATAGGATAATCACCTGACCACAAAGGTAGATTTAAAGCACAAGGCCGTAGTTCAAATTTACCAGCCAGTCCTCAGAAACGCTATACAGGTACGCTTTGAGTCAGAAATGACTTAATGGCAACTTAACAGCTCACTTTTAATGCATACTGCCATCTGGTGGACACCTGCAAAGCTGCGTGAATCTAAAGTAATGGGGTTCATCCCTCCATCTCCTCTATCAGAGAACTCTCAGGCTATATTAAATTTATATTTTTAATGACCAGATAAACCAGAACTACATATGTACATTAATAGTGTAAAAGATTTCCAGCAAGATGGTGGACTAGGCAGACACAATACACGGACACTCTATAACAAAGTTACCAGAGACAAAATGAAACAGATGCAGATGGAAATTCTGGCACCCTGAACATCAGAAGAAAGGTTAGAGAGGTGAATGGAGTGCTTGCTAAGAAGAGAGACCAAGTAGGGACAGCAAGAGAGGGAGCTAACTGGTGAATGCTGGCCAGATGGAACTCCACTATCTTGTGACCATCTTTGGCAGTGGAGGGAAGCCTGGCAGAGCAGATCTGTGTAGGTGATGAAAAAGGTGTAATTTCTTTTTTTCCCCCATGTATCCCAGGTGACCAGAAGTGTGGCAAGTTCCCACCCTCTTCAACCTCTAGCACAGACCCTGCTATATGGGAATTTGGAGCCAAGTGGTTGGGAAACACGCCAATGTAAGTTGGGGACTGGCTGTGCCTCTTTGTTATGTCATTTTGGTGCCTGGATTCAGGTGGGCTCAGCTCTAGGCCTAAAAACCCTTAGAGCCACCAGACCATCATTTAACCAGTCACATTGCCTGCAACTTCCCTGTTGTCCTAACAGACACTGAAACCAACTCTATCAAAGGCCCCCGTGAACTACTTCCAGATTAAGGGACCTGAACATAGATAACACCAAGTCCAATAGGAACTCTATCTTGGGCCAGGAATGTTGCTGTCATATCCCTTCCACAACCACCTCTTGAGCTTATTGAATTGCAGGATCCCCCAGAGATTTCTCTCCTCCAGGTTCAACAACTACACTGTTTGTTTTTACAAATAGGGCAAGCTCACATTGTCCTGGAGACAACAATGAGTTTTAAGCTCACATGAGGAAATGAGAGAATGACTCAAACAAATGATCAAGATGCTGAGTCAGAAAACATTTCTGAGGAAGAAAAGGCAAGGGAACTAACTGAAAAAGAATTAAAAAGAGTGATGAACTATGTATCTTCAAGGGATTGGTAGATCAAGGAAAGCAAAGAAAACACAATAAAAAATTTAGAATAATTTTGGAAAACACTACAAGAAAAAACAGACAAAATAACTTCAAATTTTGAAACAATACAAAATTTGCAATTAGAAATGGACAACAATGAAAGGGCAAAAGAATAAATGGAAGCCCGAATTAGTGAACTTGAAGATAAATCACTCAATACTAGTAAGCTAGAAGAACAATCAGAAAAAAAAACTTTGAAAAAAGCATAAGTTATGTGGACACATGAAGAGAAACAACTTATGAGCAATAGGAATTCCAAAACAGGAAAAGACAAGCACAGAGAAAATTATCAAAATGCTGATGGAATAAAACTTCCCTAACATGGTAGTGTAGTGGTTATGAATTGGGCTGTGAACCACAAGATCAGCAGTTAGAAACTACCAGCTGTTCCGCAGGAGAAAGATGAGGCTTTCTGCTTCCAAACAGCATCAGAAACTCTGTACAGGGTCACTATGAGTCAGAATCGACTCCACAGCACATCACCACCACCACCACCACCATCAAGAAAGATGAGAAGATACGCATACATGAAGGAACCCAAAATAGGATAGACACCAAAAGAAATCATCAAGACACATCATAATCAAATTTTCCAAAATCAAAGACAAGGAAAGAATCCTGAGAGCAGTTCAAGAAAAACAAAAAGTTATCTACAAAGGAGAAATGATAAGACTAAGCTCCAATTTCTCAACAGAAACAATGCAGGCAAGAAGGTAATGGGATGGCATATTATACAAAACTCTGAAAGAAAAAAATTGCCAACCAAGAATAATATCCTCAGCAAAGCTATTCCTCAAATACAATGGCAAAATTAAGACATTTCTTGATAAACAGAAATTAAAGAAATTTGTAGTGACCAGACCAACTTTGAAAAATGCTAAAGAATGCTCTTTAGACTGAGAACCAACAACAGTAGACAACATCCTGAGATTACCATACATAACAGTACCATCCAGAACCTAATCCAAATATAGAAGTATTTAAATAAAACAAACCTACAAGATTAAAAATAAGGAACCAGAGATCCAATACATCATGAAGTCAACTACAAAGCAAAAAGGGACTAGTGTAGTTACAGAACTTCCAAATGGCAAGGGATTCTAGTAGATTTCAAGGTAAAATCGATTGTTTCGAGCAGGGAAAAAATGAATAAATTACAGGGCAATCTCAAAGAAAAATAATATACTTGAACATCAAAATAAAAAAAGGAAGAAACTCAGAAAGACTTAGTAAACTTTAATACAATAGAAATAAAATGAAAAGAAAATCCACAAATAAAATGAACTCAGCATAGAAAATTATGTGGAACAAATAATCTAGCAGTACTATATTAAAAACACAGAAAAATAACATCAATTCATACCTATTAATAATTACACTGAATATAAATGGATTAAATGTACCAGTCAAGATCCTTAAAAAGAATGGATAAGAAAACTGGATTCTTCAATACAGTGTCTATAAGAGACATATCAAAAAGATGGAGGCAGCCTACATGCCTATCAACAGAAGAATGGTTAAATAAATTTTGGTATAAATACATGCACACAATGGTAAACTGTAAAACATTGGAGAATAATGATTAATCTGTGAAACACCTCACAACGTGATTGAACCTGGAGGACATCATGCTGAGTGAAATTAGTCAATCACAAAAGGACATACATTGTATGACACCATTGTTGTAAAGAGTTATAAAAAAAGTTTTCTTGATGAAAGAAAAAAAATAGCATAAAGAACAGCAAAATAGCACTCTGATGTTCACTGAAGCACTATTCAAAATAGCAAAAAGATGGAGACAGCCTAAGGGTCCATCAATGGACGAATGGATAAACAAACTTTAGTGCATACACACAATAGTATACTATACAATGCTGAATAATAACAATGAATCTGTGAAAAACCTCCTAACATGCATGAACCTGGAGGACATTATGCTGAGTGAAATTAGTCAATCACAAAAGGACAAATATTGGAATGAAATGATATACGATAGAATGAATGTAAAACTAATGTTCTCCCATGTAAACTATCATATAATTCACAATAAAACAGTAAAAAAAAAAAAAAAAGGACAAATATTGTATGAGACCAATATTATAAAAACTTAAGAAAAGGTTTTCATACTAGAAGATACATTCTTGGATGGTTACTAGGGGTGGAAAGGTGGACACAGTAATTTACTGGCTAGAGGGTAAGACACATGTTAGTACTAGTGACAGGGAAGGCAATATACAAGAAGAGGGTAGGTAGCAAAAGAATGATGAAGATAGGGAAGACATAAGAAGATATGCATGGGCTAAAGAAGATAAGGTAAATAGTGGCACAATAGTGTTCTGTGTATAGGTGCATGGATTGAGACATAGGCTGAATGGGTAAGGGAGGTATATAAGGTATATATAAAGTAAATGAATATTTACCTTTCCTGCAAACACAACTATGAATGTAGTGGAGTATATAGCAGGTAAAAAATTCCTAGATATTATCAAACATCTTAAGGCAATGTGTTGCTGGGCCTAGGGGCTCAGGAACATAGTCTCATGGGACACTATGATCAACTGGCATAAGACAGTGTACAAAGACAATGTTCTACATCCTATAGGGCAAGTA